AAGCCGGAAATGAAATTTCTTATGTTGGCAGTGTTAGAATCAAAGTGACCTATTTCGCTCAGAATACAATACTAATTCAATTCCTTTCGCCTTGTGATAAGTTAAAAAAAAATCGAAATAAAGATTCGGCAAAATCGCGTAAAACATTTCGCTTTTTATTATTGCATTCCTAGACGAAATTATCGATGCTATTTAATTTCATTGAAATGGAGTTATATTTGCATGGAGATGAAGTTATATTTTCATTGAGATAAAGTTATATTTTCATTTAGATTAAATTATTTTTTAATATAATAGCCAAGAGAGACAAAGAAATCAGAATCCGTATTCGCGATATAAAAACTATGTCAATGCGTTAAACATTGACAAACGAAGATAGTGACCTGTTTGTAAAATATTTAAAGAATAAGAGATTGTGTGTGCTATCTCGTATATATCCCCGCAAGATGTCTACTGATTTAATAATTTATCATGTTCTCAACATAAATTTTTCGCAAGTAACAAGTCACGAAAAAACGAGGTTTCTGCTGTGAATATATTTTTCTAGTAAAGAAATATTGTAGAGATTGATCAATCACACTTATTATTATATTCTACAATTTCCACGATAATTTTAATATCTTAAAATAAAAATATAAAAGCTTTTATATTTATTCTATATTTTTAAAGCTTTGTAAAATCTTTTTAATATTTTTTTCATGAAATACCATTGAATAAAATTTTCATAATCTAAAATTGTCTCGCGCACGATATTTTCATTTTATGTAATCGGTTCTATCTTCGCGTTTTCTATTATCTAGCTTCGATGAATGAAATATAAACAATTCGCTAATAATCGGATCTGATCGAGAGTAAATCGGATCGGTAATAAATCCAATCGAATATCGATGAACTCATATTTCTACTATTTCTGCACAAATATTTTATGGCCAATGTCAAGCACCTCAAAATGCAATTTTTTATATATCTTGGATGTATCGCACATTATTATAAAACGTACAAAGGGGTGAAAATATATTTGGAGATTTGCGGGCCGTACGTGACAACAGGGGCGTTGGTTTCAGGAATGCTTTGGGGTCGAGAAGGAGCATCGAAAGGATGGGAAGGACTAAACTAGGTCGCTCTGATAATGCGACCTACATGTGACTCGGACAACCTCGCACATTGCCCTATTTTGTATGTACTGTTTCTATGTCTCTCTGTTACAGTGACGGACAAACAGTGATGAGCCAGCAATAAACGTACAAATTGCTCGAATTTTCTGACATAGTAAACGCGACAAATTGTTGTTCAAAACTTTCTATTTGTCAAATAACTCAAATTCAAACTATAAGTTCGAATCTTACATCGTGTTCAACTCTTTGCGATTTGAAAATATCTTCGTTTTTCGATGTATTTTCATAAGAAACATCAAATTATTCGACCATGCAATTCATTTGAATCATAAATCCAAACTATACTTGTAATTCATGTAAGTATGACAGTTCATTCATGTAAAAGGTAAGCATTTATATTAGAATATTATTTTAAAAACTTTTGTATTTTTCTATTATGCATCATAAGAGTAAGTAGGTTAAACGCTATTTCTTTCACATATTATTCTTTTCTCTCAATAATAATTACAATAATTATATTATAAATAAATAAATTATAATTATACTCTTTGTGCTTTAAGGAATTTATTTCTATTTTTATTCCAACGTTCTTAAAACGTTTCTTGATTCAGTCGTGGGTGCAAGTACTGTTAACGCGACCCTGTTCTTACGTCATTGCCGCCCCAGGATGCAATCCCCTCCCTGTACGCTTTTACGTCATTGCCGGCAACTGAAACATCGCGCTTTTTCGTGAATGAGATCTCGCTGGGAAAAAGAACGGCCGTTGCACGCCGACGTGAAAGATAAATAGGAAAAGAAAAAAGAACGCTCGTAAAAACCGCGGCCGCTAATAAATCCGGCTGTAGCGATCGTTACCTTTACGACTGCCCGTTCATTTTTTTTTCTTTTTTAGTTTAACTCGCGGTATTCATCTCGGTGTAATTTCTGGGTGGCGCTAGCTTGTCCACCGATATCGAGAATACGTCGACGAAGCGGCCGAACGCCGGTTATTAAATTTCGATACTGCCGTGCGGTCGACTTTTTATACCGCAACTCGACATGCAATGACGCTGGAATTTTTGTATTTCTCGTTGCAGTAAATCGCACAAAATATGATTAATGACCACTCTAATATATTATGATTATAATGCGTTAAACTTTTTAATTAATATCGTAATTGTAAACCTGCTATTAGAGAAGTATTATTCTTCGATTATAAATCGCGCAAAATGTAAACAGTAATTATTGTTTTATACATTCTAATGTACTGAAGTATAATTTTTACTTAAATGAAAAACCAATAATAATAAACGATGTATTAAAACAGTGTATCTCGATTATTATGATAAATCGTAGAGTACAACAGCAAAGTTTATTTTTAAAATTTATGCATCGTATTTTAATTCAAACCAAACCGTGAACTGTTTTAAAAACTAACTTTTGATAACACTCTAATAACACGATAAATTATATGAAATAATGTCAAATATATATCTATTAATTATATTGATTAATGTGAAATATATATCTACCGTATATCTGTATACAGAATATATATCATGTTATAATGTGTTAAATTCTTTATTTTAATTAAAATTGAAATCGATTAAAAGTCGCACTCGTGTCTTGCATACCCTAAGCAAAAATTTATTTTTATACGATAAATTTATTAAAAAGGCTGCGCCAACTAAATATTGATCAAAAAAGAGAGAGACAGAGGAAAACAAAATAAAAAGAATCCTTTAACAATAAACAGGATCAGTTTTCTAATTCGTATAATCCGCCAAGTCACGTCCAAGATCAATATTCCATAGCAAAAAAATTTTTATCGCGCGTCCACGCGCACAATAAAATATCCCAACTGTGAGGGAGATCCGCAGGTGAAAGTCGGCATAAACATCTTTTATTGGAAAACTTTCTTTCACCGTCTGGCGACGAGACTGGCTATACAACGAAGCGAGCGAGAAGAGAAAAGAGGATATAAAAAGGGGGATAACGGGATGCGTATAAGATGCATCCCGCTATATATCGGCTTGCAATTCCGAATATGGCACGGCAAGGTGCAATTGAGGATCTTTATGCAATAGGAGAAGCGAGATATTTCTGTTTCTATCCCCAACGGTGGGTGAGCAACGAAGCGATATGAACGTGCCATATCGTATCACGCTTTTTTTCGGCACACGTAACTTTTAACCCTCTCGTTTAACCGTCTTAGGGATCGTTTCATCCCTTTCTGTCCATCTCTCCCGACCTGACCCTCTCTATCTCTTTCTCTCGCTTCGTTGTATCCATTCGATATTTAGACCATCTCGGTGTATTTGCGATGCGAACGAATGCGGAATATCAAAAGACCGCAAGAGCGAATAAAAAGCCTACAAAAAGGAAATTTGAGATTTAAAATATGAGATTGCGAATGCAATATTGAATAAACCATGGTGCCGAGCGCAATGTAGCGTTAAATTAACGGCAGAGTTCTCGCCGCAACATTTTTCCCCATTCGTATTCGTGGCAAAAATGCCGTAAATATATCTGTGAAAATATTGATATTCAACGATATACAAAATGTTGCAAAGCATTTTATATTTATGTTATATATCGATTTTCAAAACCTAAGGCATGTAAAATACAAAGCGCAACGTATTTTTATTATATAAATCATGAAATTGTGAAATATTTACATATATCGTTACTTATATTCTTCAAAAATTTATACGTATCTATTTTTTATATGTCGTTTTCTCTGATTAAAATGATCGTACACGAAATCGATGTATCAATATTATGATTTTTATTTCGTTTCGTTTCTTTTCGCGATATCAAAATAATAGCAAATCGGCAAATATTGTGGAGATCAATTCTCCTCCTACATAGGAGGTAGACATTATTTAAAATCTTTGCGTATAAACATTAATAATATCTTTTGCACAACATTTTGATTGCGTGATTGATGCATTAATTGGCTCAACAATAAATTTCCAACTCACCAATTAGTTACTTACTGTTGATATAATTCTGGTACCAATGTTTGCTAATCATCGTCGCATGATAATCTTGAATGATCAACTCTCGTACCATCTGCTAAAAAAATGTGATAAAATTAATAATTAATGCTTTTTATTTGCGTAACTGATGAAGCTAACAACAATTATCACAAGAAAAGGAACAACTCGCACTGGTTGTTGCTAATTATCACTGTTTGCTCTCATATCCTGAACAGAGAGACAGCGGTCTAGTTTATCGACCAGCAACCTTGCTTCGGGTTGACTGTAACAGATGAGGGTATCTCGAAGTACCTTATATAACAATGTGCCAATCAAAAAATGTTTATATGATGACACTGCTTTGTCGGTTGTTTTTCCGTTGAACTATAATTCGCCTATTGCTATAACTTTATAGAGCTCACATCTTTAAAATTTATTATTTAATATTAATAAAATTTATTAATTTTACATATTTATCTA